TTGGACGAGTATTACTAGCCCTCCAAATTTATTCAACTATTTTATAATACTCTATACTACAAATAATACTGCAAATCTGAATAAATAAAATATAGGGATGTCAAAGTAGTGAAACTATTTCAACAAATGTGAGGGAATTTTACTCAAATCCAAGTTTCTGCTATCAAGTAAGTGACTTTTGACTGTATTCTATGTATATAAAACCAATTAAGAGTTCACTTTTCTCTAATATGATTCAAATTAAATTTTTATTATGAAAAGGTCCAAGGGGGCTGTGCTATATTTAAAAATATTATTCTTCAACAATATACAATATTTTAATTAAAATAAATACAGAATATCAGAGATATTGCCATTACAATCAAAATTGATATAAATCAATCGTTAACTAATAATAGATTAATTACTATAATTCTGAATTCAGTAAAATGTTTTGATTTTATCCTAGTTAAAATGTGTGATGAAAATAATTTGTTTAGACACACATTTTTTAGTATGCCGTAACTCTCGATCTGAATTCAGTTTTTTAATATAAAAAAAATAAGATAAGATCTGTTATCGATTCATCCATAGTTTTTTTTAATAAGTAAGATAACTAATCATATTTACAACATAAATAGCAACAAATTTGAATGAAATTTAATATCGATTAAGTTAATTAATTTTACATTATTATCGTTCTATTACGATTTAAATATATTAACAAAACAAATAAATCTATCTAACAAGGAAACATTAGTATTATATATTTATAGTATAAACATTTTTTGTACATATTTTTTTCCCAATTTTCATTACGGTGATAGTGTACCTGGTGGAGCAATGGAAGTCAGTAAATCCCCACAAACTGCATCCATATCGCAAACGTTCAACCTTGTGTCCCAATAAGTTCCTGGGGGACATTCAAGAAGTGCAGGCACCCATAGTGACATTCATAGAATTGTCCACATTCTACTTCATGGGGAAAATACGAAGCTTTGCTGTTTTCGTCTTCTTCGGGACAATTAACTAAATAAAAAATAAAATGAGCATTACATAAAACCGATTTTTCTCCATATTAAATATGACAGTGGTGACGTGAATAATAATCAGTTTCCTTTTTACAGTTTGTCACTCCAAATTCAATTTTATGCAAATCAAATTAACTCCGTTCCAACGTGATTGGCCCAATATTCCCCTTATAATAGAAGAATGTCTCAATCCCACCAACAAACTATCAACTGAAAGAATTATAAAAGCAGACTGAAGAATAATTTGCTGTTGACATGAAACAATTTGTCATTTTTCATTCATTACCGCCTACTATTTCACTAAGATTGTCGCTCAATTTCAAACAAATGATGATGAAAAATGAAATGAAAAAATGAAAAATGATGATGAAATGAAAAACATTCGGTTTTTTATTTGTTTCGCTGCTATTATCAACGCTGTTGGAAAATCGAAATGAATATTTGACTCACTAAAGAATAATAGTTGTTACTATTACCTCAAAATAATTAATAGAGGAACATGTTTCTTAAACTAAATGCAGCAAGAAACTACAGATGACCTAAATCATAATTTCCTTGTTCTAAATTTATATTTTGTAACAAAAGGTAAGTGGTTTAATGTCCCAATATATTCCCTTATCGCTAATGATAATTTAAAGAACAACTGATAAACCCAGTAACTATTTATTTATACAAATTATAAGCTTCATGTATGTAAGTAGAGGAAAATAAAACAATGTAGTGTTAATACCAAAATAACCTATTCCTCAGTTTTAATATAAATAATTGAATTATATTTAAAATATAAAATGCAACACGTAATCAAACTTTTACAAAATTGTGAATAATTCTGATGACACTTTCAACTAGTAGAAGTAAGTTGAAGATTTTGTATTCTAAATTCAGTCATGCTGGAGGCCCACATTAACACAGAATAATAATAGTTGGAAATATAATTATTTTTCAAACTGATAAACACTTGATCCCTGTTATCTATTTCTTAGACGATTCTATGGGAATACCATCTGCTGACCAAACTAAAAACATATTTCCCAGCAATATAATTTTAGTGCATACGTAAATATAATTGAAGTTATGACCAAAGGATCTACGTAACAAAATCACTCTAAAAATACGAATTAACTAATACAAGTTGAGAATATGAAATGCACAGAATCAATTTTTATTAATTAGGTGGATGTAAATCGGTTTTTCTACAAAAATTAGCTGCTACTTTTTTTTTCTACTACTACTAGTATTTTTGACATATTTTTGCTTCTAAGAGCCTATAATTTTAATGAAACGCCAAAACAGTCAAAATAGCTTTATAGTTATTTTATTAACAAATAAATATTTTTACTAACTTGATTCCTTATTAAACTGTTTTCATTTGAAAATTGTGAAGAATAGCATTGTTTTGCTTCTAGCACATTTAGATGAACAATAGTATATTGGAATTAAGAAAATAGAAAAGGAAATACATTCATAAGTGTGATAGGCAATGTGAAATTCATTTTATTCTTAACCCATGAATTTGACCATAAGAATATTAATTTTCACTTACCTTCAGCAGAAGTAAAGGCAAACAGAGCTACAAATCCCAAAATGAAAATCAGCTTGTACATTTTGATTTCCTACTGGATGACCACTGGAGGTAAAAACTTTCAAGCAAAATAAACAAATATAAAAATGATCGAATTTATATAGCACACATATCTAAATGAGTAATGTTATCTATACAATATACAATTTTCTGAAAATAAATACTTTAATAATCAAATGCATCGTTAAATGAAGTACTTAGTAGCAACTACATCCTACTCAATTCAGGGAATGTTAGTAGGTGGTTCTTTGTTCCAACTTGTTTTATATTTAATACAAGGTTTCTCAATATATCCATAATAGAAGTTAATATTAAAAATCCAAATGCCGTAAAGTATAATAATAGGAAAATAAATTCCCCTTCACAGACATTATTACCGTCACTGAGCTTCTTAGATTCTGGAAAAGAATTTATAAAGAATTTAAAGTGTAAACCACTGATTTTATAAGCTTATACATAGTCAAATCATTAACATATTAACGTAGTCGCTGATTATTGTCAGTAATAAACAAAAGAAAACTTTCTAAAGTAGCATTACCATTTTACTCTTATACAGGGTGATTCATTAACAATGGGAAAGTCGAAAGCTGAAAATACTACACGTGAAATGGTGACCATTGGCGCAAACATGCCTTATCCGAAAGTTGATAGTTTCGGAAATACAGACTGTTGAAAGTTAAAATTTTAAATCGTTTTTTTGCGATTATTCTGAAAATATGAAGGTTAGGAACTTGAAAATTTGTGAAACTAAATTTTTTTAGGCGACGAATAAGATGCGAGTTGTAATTTCAGCATTACTCGTAGAGGGCGCCACTTACGACCAATTTTAAAGAAAATTTAGTTAATAACTTTTTACCCTGTATGTCTAACATGAAACTTGATTCAAAACCTGAAAGAGCAATCATTTTTCCATTAATTGTGTATTCTTGTTTCATTTCGGTATCTCGATCCGTTTTCGAGAAAAATCGATTTAACGAACACTATGTTTTGATAATACGAGAAATTAAAAGCGAAACAAACCAAGTGTTTCTTCGTGTTATTACAACAATTAACAATAAAACAAATGAAATTCGTAATAATGATTTAAAGTCAGTGTTCGAAGAATCCACCGTTGACATTTACACACTTTACACAACGTTTTCTGAGAGATCTTCGAGTTTGAAACAACATATTGGGATTGCGTTTGACTTCGTTGGCAGCGATTTGTATTCTTTGCCACAACTCTTCACACGAACCAATAGATTCTTCCAAATAGAAAAATGAAGAGGATTGAAGTCCGGACTTCTGGGTGGCCAAGTAAAAATGCTTCCACGGCTTGAAGAAGTTCCACTTTATTTAAGAAGAGACATGTGGTTCATGCACGACGGAGCTCCACCGCATTTTTCTTGGCCAGTGCGTGCATATTTAGATGCAGTTTTTCCAAATCGCTGGATTGGCCATGTAAGCATTTTTGCTTGGCCATCCAGAAGTCCGGACTTCAATCCTCTTGATTTTTCTATTTGGTCTCGAATGAAAGATATAGTTTACAAAGAATCTATTGGCTCGTGTGAAGAGTTGTGGCAAAGAATACAAATCGCTGCCAACGAAGTCAAACGCAATCCCAATATGTTGTTTCAAACTCGAAGATCTCTCAGAAAACGTTGTGTAAAGTGTGTAAATGTCAACGGTGGATTCTTCGAACACTGACTTTAAATCATTATTACGAATTTCATTTGTTTTATTGTTAATTGTTGTAATAACACGAAGAAACACTTGGTTTGTTTCGCTTTTAATTTCTCATATTATCAAAACATAGTGTTCGTTAAATCGATTTTTCTCGAAAACGGATCGAGATACCGAAATGAAACAAGAGTACATAATTAATGGAAAAATGATAGCTCTTTCAGGTTTTGAATCAAGTTTCATGTTAAATATACAGGGTAAAAAGTTATTAACTAAATTTTCGGTAAAATTGGTCGTAAGTGGCGCCCTCTATGAGCAATGCTGAAATTACAACACGCATCTTATTCGTCGCCTAAAAAAAATAGTTTGAATTTTTCAAGCTCCTAACCTACATATTTTTTGAATAATCGCAAAAAAAAACGATTTAAAATTTTAACTTTCAACATCCTGTATTTCCGAAACAATCAACTTTCGGATAAGGCATGGTTGCACCAATGGTCACCATTTCACGTGTATGTTGAGTTGCTTTATAAAATTACTATTAAGAACCATCACATAATTTATTTGACTGATAATGTGCTATTTTACTGAATTCAAAATAGTTTACATCAGCCACAGTAGTTGACTGCCATCCTCCATGTCTTTTAAGTGTTTATCATGCAGTTATATTATTATATTTTTTTTCTATGCGAGGGGAACACAGTTACATTATTGTAAGTGGAAAACAATTTAAAATAAACAAGAAATTTACTTATTTATAATATATTTCCTGTAAACTGAATTAATCGGAATCTGTGGGCGATGGCGGTGGTGTAGCAGTTGAGGTCAGCAAATCACCACAATCTGCTTCGGTGCTACAAATAACCTGTCGCGAGTCCCAATAACTTCCGGGGGCGCATTCGAAGAGTTGGGCTTTTCCATTATCACATTCGTAGAACTTTCCGCATTCTGTCTCATGGGGGTAATATTGGGGTGTGCTCCCGTCGTCAGTAGGACATTCAACTAAAATTTAAATAAAAATCGAATTAAAACTTTTGTTCCCTAAATATTATACAAATTACGGATAGTTTAATACAGGTATGAGAATATATGGAGACCAATGAAAAGTATTTGTTTAGAAATGCAAACTACAGTTTTCCAAGTTAATGAAGAGGAATCGTGGAAGCAAATGGTTTGATAAAATTTGTGATTTTTGCTTAAGTACTAAAACATAAGAGACGTGAGGTCAACGAAAAGACTTATGAGTTAACCAGGACCGATTCACCATCACAGGAATCAAACTTCTTCTGCGGTATTGCTAGTCGACAAGTGAATGAAAGATGAAGGCCAAAAATGGTGGCAGGAAAGTCATAATTCAATAAGAATTAATGTCATATCGAAATGAACCATAATAATGTACAATTTAAGCAAGTAGTATTACATTTTCTTCTTAAACGTATTTTCAGTTTTTGCAATTACTTTCGTTTTGCAGCATATTGTAAATAAGTATCATAAGAAGCTAAATTATGATATAGTGTAACTTATAAATGAATTTCGAATTTAATTTGTACGTAGTTTATACTAGTTGCCGGTTATTAACAATACAATATCAATATTAAGAGTTGACATTTGGACTAGATTATTATTTTAGAAAATTTTAAGTATTCAATTTGTGAATAATATTTATGTATTAACAATTTTTTAATGGTCTAATTTCAGCAATACCAGTACCTTACTTTAGAAAATTTTAAAATTACATAAAGCAAAAATGGATAATTAAATTATAGTTGTATTTAATGCGCCATTAAACAAATTACCAAATATTACTGCCTTTTAATGCTTTAAAGAAAACATATAACTTGTGCTAGTTTAAATGTATAGGGAAATTATAATTATTATATTTATTAATATTGCAAATGAAGACCTAATAAAATTACAAACGTTAATTAATATTTTTGCCAAGTGAACTGTATTTTTATTAAATAATTTGCAATATGTAGCTAATACTAAATTTATACTGACCTTCAAAATTATAATCTAGTTGAATACAATAACATATTTCAATAATGTATACATAATTCACAATACCATTATTTTAATTTTAACCTCATCTTATTTTGAAAACTGTTGATTTAGTCCTTTAACAATGTAGATAACAATAATGAAATTACTTAGATATAGTATAGTATTAAGTAATGCTTGTGCTCCTTGTTTTTTTAGTAATTAGTACTAGGTCAACTATAGTAATCTTCTGCACTTATCAGTCTTATCTCTAAATCACATTTAGTAAGTCTTGAATAAATTATTAAATCAAAAGTAGAAGTAGATCATAATTATTTTATCTACTACACCATAAATCGTAGAAGAGTTATAATGTTCGTTACGAAAATAAATATATTAGACTAAAGTTCAGGATATTTCAATAATATATAACTTAAACTGAAGTAAATGCAGTCTTTTTGGTACTACTAATTCTAAAATTTTTAACAAAATAATATTGCTCCTTTAAACATTCAATTATCATAATTTTTAGACGCTACCTGTTTTATATTTTAAACTAAAGTGTCGAAATGACTATTTTAAAAAAAATGTTAAAAGGTAGTAATAATTATTATCTAAACATTACTGAGTCTAAAACTATTTTAAAGGTACATATTTGCATGAGAGAAAAAATTTAAATATTTCTATATTCCTTGAATTCAATGAGACAAGAGTGAATGTATTACTTACCAGCTGATGCATAAGCGAAAATTGCAACGAGACCCAAAATTACAATTAGTTTCTGCATGGTGAGTTCTGGTTTTTGGGATGCTTCGCTACTAATGCAACTATTGTAAGTAAATGGCTGGAAGAACGTACAACTTTATATAGTGTACCTATAACTAATTGAAAATATTATCTGTGTAAATGATTAATTTATTTATGTTTTGGAAGTATGTACTTCAGTGATAAAAGCGCTATTAAATGTAGTGCTTCGCAGTTGATAACATCTAACAGAAAATGGAAATGTTCAATTATCACTACACTTGCATTTGTTATACTACTATTTATTTCCTTAATAAAAATAATATTCTATCTAATAATATTGTTTCGGACTTGATTTTCTAAAATCATATAGCTAATTATTTGCATCTTTATAATTGACAGAAGTTTAAGAAAATGTACAAAACTTTATTTAGACAGTGTAATGGTTTATTCCTAATATACTATCGACCCTACAATTCAGGATTTAATTTTTGTCAACCGTGTTTACTAATGAATAAGGTCTTTTAGACAAAAACTTTTTAGACCCAGTCGACTCTTCTCTTGTTAACCTTCTGATGCTTCTGTTGTTGTTGGTACCGTTGGTATTGATATTGAAGGTTTGGTGGACGCCAGCAAGTCACCACAAACATCCTGTAAGCGTTTAATCTTGAGTCCCAATAAGTCTTATTTAAATGTTTCTACTATTATATCTTTTTTCATACTTTCCTCTTAAGGTTTCTATCAGTAGCTATCAAAAAAATTTCAAAATAAAGCAAGTACTTTTTTAAGGACAAGCTTAGTATAGTTCACAATTTAATTTTGGCTTGAACTATGTCAATATTATTTAGAAAACTAAATAAAGGAGGAGGTTCTGGCACCACTTCACTATTTTAGCAATAACTTGAAAACGAAAAAAGATGTCGACCTACGGTTTGTATATTTGTTTTTCTTAGTAAATGGTCAAACCTATATTGTTGCATTTAATTTTTTTTAGTAAACGGAGACAATTACAAAACTTTTCTGATTAACGTCGTCTTCTGTTGCACATGAAAATAATATTTTTATTACCGTGTCATAAAAATAAATTTTATTAATATTTCTTTAAAATGAGCTGTCGTTTCTTGAAATTGATTAAGGCATTTAGAAATTATGCCAATTTAAAAATTTCAAGATGGCGTCTTTCATACTGGCGTTGCTATGGTAATAATAAAAAAAAAAGTTCAAACAAAACTTGTGATGGTTTTAACAGTGTATTAAATAAGTTGTACCACTAGTAGTGATCTAGATATATCGTTCTCTTTCTCTAAAACCATAAGAATGACAAAGATGAAGATAGTGATCTGAGCAGTCTAAGTGAATTTTCGAAAACGCCTATTGTAAGTATATCGGTGACTTAAATAAAAGGTTAGTTCTTGTTCGCAAGTAATAAAAAATTTCAGTATTTTTAGAAGTGATTTTCATACTCTTTTCATACTCATACAATTTGACTCAGAAGCTCAGGACAATCAATTTGACTATTCAATAACTTGTAGAGGAAAGTGACTGAATTTAATTTTCTCCTCAAATGTAAACTCTGAAATCCAAATCTATCAATCAGTTGCTTATACAGAGTACATCTTTCAGGATAAGCATTATCTATTTTCTAAGTTCTTGTCAGCAGTGACCAACTACTTTGCTTAAATTTCTAAACTATTACTTAGGTGTATGTAACTGTGAAAGGCTTGAATTCATTTGTTTAACTGTCTGCTAACAATGCTTCTAACTTTGTTAAATTATAGGACTTTTAACGGTGACTGGTGCATTCTACGAAGCACAGTCAAGAGGCACAAAAGTTTCCATTTATATAACATATAAAAATGTAGATAAAAATTTTTTCGCAACATATTACTCCTTGTTTGACAGTTTGAAGTCAAACCGATGCCATTAGTTAAGTAGCTGATATAAAGGATTATACATTATACCAAGTCAAGCAAATAAAAATAACACAAAAATATTAATTGATTCTATTCTTAATCGAAACTAAATTTAAAATTATTATTTTCTAGGAACTTTTTATCATAAATACTTGAGATTTCGATAAAAAGAATACTCTGTATTGCACTTTATGACATGTTATTTTTGTTGATAATTTCGTGTCTAATTATAATTTTACAACCATTGTGAATTAACTAGTTATCAAATGTCTGAGATATTTTATAGAGCACCAAGAAAATGGTACACAACTTCGAGGGCCTTCTACAGATTTTATTTAAATTTTTAAATTTTGATTTAAAAGTAGGTTTTTTATTTCTCTACAACTGTATTATTAATGAAATTATTATATTCATTTTTTTTTCTCTCCATTGACGAAATATTCTCATCAAACAAATCTTAATTTTAATTTTAAGTTCTGGCTATTTGATTTTACAATTTTCCTATTGATTTAACACGTAAACCTATAATTTTTTTAAAATTTTCTATTTATTGTACATAGGCGATTATAGGGAAATCTTTCTATCTTTCTTTGAATGAGTCTAGGTGACTTGAACAGTTTCATTAAAAAAACCTTAAAGTTTTATCGATTTTTGCATTTTTCTCATAAATGATTTATCTCGTGAACTAGCTTTAATACTAGGGACCTTTTTTAGCCAATTTAATTTCCTATAAAAATGTCACTTAGTTTTTTGCTGTAAGTCTAGTCATTAATGCCCAACATTTGAAAACACTCTATCAAGCTCTGGTCGAAAGTTATTTAAATTATTATCTATTTTAATTTGCAAATTGTTAGTCTAAGTAATGTAAATTTCAATTAAACAATGCAAAATTGTATGTTTTATGTTGGTTGTTAAGAGTTAAAGTTGACATGTGAATATTTTGGTTTGCCAATATTGATTTCTTGTTTACTCATGTTTTTACTGTTCTTTCTTTATTAAGCTTACTGTTATTATATGTTATTTAATTCCAAAACAAGTGTTATTCACTTTTTCGATATATATTTTGTTGTACTTCAAGTTTTTGTGAAAATAACGTCTACTATTTTTATCAGAGAATTTATTATACTTACCTATAATCCATATTTTATTGAAATTTGTAATTTTATAATTAAAAAATAAATAAACTTTTTAATAGCAATACAAATAATAATAATAACGTTAGGGTATTTCAAAGACTCAAAAAAAAAATACTGAAGAAATAACAATTTATTGAAAAACTTTTAATAGATAATGGTACTTATTATTTGTAATATTGTCTAAAATATACAAACACGGTGATTCACAAGTTATCTGAAAAAAATTGGGAATAGATGCGTCATGAAAAATGGAGTCAATATCGTAAAAAAATGTTGTAAATTTTTCAGTTTCCTTATAAGAAAAAAATTATTGAAGTTATATTATTTACAACCCTTACATAGCTGGGCTACTCTAAAATATTTCGCTGTACGCAACGTGGCCCTAGGCGAATCCGAATGCTGAAATCCGATTTTAGTATTAACGTTTTTGCTATAGTGTTTACATTAGTTTTTCAAGTTTTAAAAATGGCTTACGTGTATAGCAACTCGGAGTTGATGGATATCATTTTAATTTATGGTCAAGCAAGACATTTGTGTTATGGTGAAGCAAAACAACATTTCTGTTAGTTCGTAGAAACTGGGTAAGACAGACCTAAATGTGCTTACACGTTGGTGAACAAAATTTTGAACAGTTGTAACATCAGGTATGTCAAATTATTTTATTACTGAAAACCACAAATTAATTTTATTAATTAATAATAGCAAAAGCGGCAAAAGTAGTTAAATTTGCCGATATAAAATAGGTGTTATAAAATTTTATTTATTTCTTTCCTTGGGAAAGAAATTCTTTAAATTTTTTGTTTTTTCATTTTTATTACACTTTGCGGCCATGACTAGTTTCCAGTGCCGTGCAGAAGTATATTTTTAAATCATTTTCGAACTGCCCTTTTTTGGTTTCTTTACAAAATTGTATTTGTAAGAGCCCCCTGTACATTTAAAAAATTTTTTTTAGATAAGTTCTAAGTTACCCTGAATATTTGTAGGTGAAATGAAAATGAAATATTTCTTCAGTAAAACGTATGAAAAACGTGCATTTCTTTACCACCTTTAGCTGATGTATAAACGAAAATTGCAACGCGATTTAAAATAACAATTTATTTATGCATGTTGACTTCTGATTTTGAATTGCTTCACTTTCAATACAACAATTCTAACGTGAAGAAAAATTTACTACTTTATATAGCATACCTATAACTAATTCAAAATATGCCTATGTACAAGTACTTGCCTATGGCAAGTACCTGATTTTTTCTGGAAGTACTTCAGTGACAAATACATTATTAAATGAAGTGCTTCACAGGTGACACATTTCACCTTTCAAAGTCAACAGGTTCGATTATCACTGAATTTCCAAACAATTGTTATAGAAGTATTAATTTCCTATTAATAAAAACAATACCCTATCCAATAATATTGTTCTGGGATTTATTCTATACCTTCATACAGTCACTTTACTTACATATTTGTCATGTAATTAATTATTCGCCTTTATTTTAATAATGACAATATTAAAGAATGAAAATAATAAATAAAACTTGATATTCTAATTCAGTTTTTAATTTCTGTTAAATTGGTAATTCTCTATTTGTCGTGTTTTGTGTCTGGGACCCTTACAACTTTATCAATGAAATCATTACCACGAATTATCTTTAAAAACACTCCATTGAACGTCTGTGTAAGTAAGTACTTATATCAGAATTTTTAAACATTAGTCCAGTTAAATGGGCCTTTATATCGCAATTTTGGTCGACTTGCCTGAATTTTTGATATAAGTTAGTTTAAGGTATATAAGTAATAACAATAAGTGACAGTAATTTTTTGTCACCCTCGGCCAGGGGTGAAAAAGAATAAAATATAGGGGTGTTTCAAGATAACTCAAAAGGAATAAGAGGTAGAAAAAACAGTTTCTTATAAAAGTTGTAGAGCAGAAAATTCCACATAAAAATTGTCAATTGACTTTTTTTGTACTATTAAAATTGACAGAGTTAGGGAGGCTGGAAGTTAAGGGATGATTTCAGAAATTTAAAAAATCATAATAAACAGAAAAATTAATGGATTTTATAATTTTTGTTTTCAATCTA